GACCAGTCATGGAAGCCAGGCACCCTGCAGCGACTCTCTGCTTCCCCCTCTGCCCTGCATCCAACCAATGGCACTTCTGTTAACATGACCTCCAGAATGTCTCCAGCCTCCTCTCCCGTCAGCACTCACGCCGCTGCCCCAGCTTAGCTGCTGGGGCCCTTCATGGAGAGCAGCGTCTCCCTAGCAGGCCTTCCGGCCTTCCGGACCTCCACTTTCCACATGAAAAGAATAAGAGAGCAACCAAAAGTACTGATCTGCTCGTACATTTATTCAATAAATACTCACTGAGGGCTTATTTTGGACTGGCCCTGGCTGAGTACCGGGGGTATATTAACAGGAGTGTGTCTCCCGTTACAGAGCTGACGTCACAGTAGTGAGAAAAAGACAATGTGTGTGTGTATGTGTGCATATATGACTACATGCCAGCTGGTGACACATGACAGCAGGAGATGAGGGACACAGAGTGACGAGGGTGCTACTTTATACAGAGTCAGGTCAGGTAAAGCCAGGTAAGCCATGTTAAAGACTGTGGGGTTTACTTTGGAGGGGAACTGCCACTGGAGGGTTCTAAGCAGACAAAAATGCACAGATGTCACCTACGTCTTAAATAGGTCACTCTGGCTCTGCAGAGATGAGGCTGAGGGAGGCAAGGGTGAACGGGGAGACCAGTCAGGAGGTCCTGCTCAAGTCAATGCTGGACAGGATGGTGGCTGCGGCACAGGCAGTGTGCACACAGATGTGTTTCAACCATAGACGGAACACAATTTACTGACAGATGGAGGAGTCCAGGAAAAGTTCAGAGTCTGAGTGACAGGGAAGATGGAGCCCATTTATAGAGACGTGAGGGGACTGTGGGAGGTGCAGGCTAGGGCACAGGGTGGAAAGGGTGGAAACTAAGATGACCAATTAGGACGTATTAGGATTGAGTGACATATTCAAGCAGAAAGGTGGTGTGGACAGCTAGATGCTCAGGGGAAGGACTGGGCGGGAGATACAACCTGGAGTTATCAGTGTGTAGGTGATAGAAAAACGCCCGAGACTGGACTGAGATCACATCAAGAGTGAGCATCCGTGGAGAGGAGAAGAGAGGAGGCTGGAGGCTGCGCCCCGGGCATGCCACCATTCTGGCGGTCAGGACTACACCCCAGATGGAGGAGGCGACCAAGGGAATCCCTTGAAAGGTAACACAGGAAATGGAAAAGCATCTCCCTCCCAGGGGAAAATGACCTGATCTGGAAAAAACTTTAATATCGTCATTGAGGAATTAACACCTGAGATCCTCTTTTTCTAAGAAGCAGATATAGGATTTATCTTATTTCCATATTTCAAAATAAATTCCAGGTAACACAAACGTGAGAATCCCCTAATAACTTAGAAGAATGGGGCTCCTCTACAAACCTCTCACCAGCCTATTTCAAAGTCATCTTCTTGTTCCTCGTTAACATGAAAAAGCAGTGATAAGTTCAGCAAAGGAACAGTGTGGTACTTAATGGTATATGAACAGACGGAAAGACCACTGGAATGGAATAACAAGTCCAAAAGGAGACCCAGGGTCAAACACAGATGTAGACTACAGTGAAGGTAGCTTCTAAATTCACTGGGAGAAGATGGATCTTCAAATAAATGGTGCTCGGACAACAGACATTTAGAAAAAAGATGAAACTGGATCTATACATCATACCATACACTGGAATAAATTCCACATGGATCAGAGATCTAAATTTTTAAATGTAGATTTAGAGTGTAGTTGTGTTCCCAAAAAATGTGATCTATAAATACAGGTGGCTGTGCACTTATGGTCAACTAATCTATGATAAAAAAAGGCAAGACTACACAATGGAGAAAAGACAGTCTCTTCAATAAGTGGTGCTGGGAAAACTGGACAGTTACATGTAAAAGAATGAAATTAGAACATTCTCTGACACCATATACAAAAATAAACTCAAAATGAATTAAAGACCTAAATGTAAAACCAGATACTATAAAACTCCTAGAGGAAAACATAGGCAGAACACTCTTTGACATAAACCACAGCAATATTTTTTTTGGATCTGTCTCCTAAAGTAAAGGAAATAAAAGCAAAAATAAACAAATGGGACCTAATTAAGCTTAAAAGCTTTTGCACAGCAAAGGAAACCATTGAAAAAATGAAACGACAATCAACTGAATGGGAGAAAATATCTGCAAATGATATGACTGATAAGGGATTAATATCTACCATATATAAACAGCTCATACAACTCAATATCCAAAAATAAACAACCCAATTAAAAAATGGGCAGAAGAACTGAACAGACATTTTTCCAAAGGGGAAATGCAGATGGCCAATTGGCACATGAAAAAAAGGCTCAAAATCGCTAATCAGGTAAATGCCAATCAAAACCACAATGAAGTATCACCTCACATCTGCCAGGATGGCCATCATCAAAAAGAACACAAATAACAAATGCTGGCGACGATGTGGAGAAAAGGGAACCCTCATACACTGCTGGTGTGAATGTAAATTGGTACAGCCACTGTGGAAAACACTATGGAGATTTCTCAAAAAACTAAAAATAGAACTATCATATGACCTAGCAATTCCACTCCTGGGGATATACCTGGGAAAAAAAAACAGTAATTCAAAAAGATATATACACCCCAATGTTCATAGCAGCGTTATTTACAATTGCCAAGATATGGAAGCAACCTAAGTGCCTATCAACAGATGAACAGGTAAAGAAGAATGGTATACACACACACACACAATGGAATACTACTCAGCCATGAAAAAACAAAATTTTACCATTTGCAGCAACATGGATACGCTTGGAGGGCATTATGCTAAGTGAAATAAGTCAGAGAAAGACAAATACTGTATGATATCAGTATATATGGAATCTAAAAAATACAACCAACTAGTGAATATAACAAAAAAGAAGCAGACTCACAGATATAGAGAACAGACTAGTGGTTACTAGGGGTGGGGTAGTGGGAAGTACAAACTACTGAGTGTAAGATAGACTCAAGGGTGTATTGTACAACACAGGGACTATAGCTAATATTTTGTAGTAACTGTAAATGGAAAGTAACCTTTAAAAATTGTATAAAAATAGGTGGCTGGTCTGTGGGCCTCAGTTTGCTGAATCTGAACATATAGAAACAAAGAAGGATGCATTTAAAATTTACATATACATGCTTATTTTTTGCAAAGAGAAGTATAGAAAGGATAAAGCAGAAACTAACAAAGAGGTAACCCATAGGAGATGGATGGGAATGCGGTAGAAGGAATGAAGATGGGAGTGAGGTATGTCTGAGTATATCTTTCTACACCATTCTGATACAGTAAAAAGTACACAGTACCACCTATTCTTGCCAAAAAACTTTAACCTCCAATCTAATCATGAGGAGTCAATCAGAGAAATTCAGAGTATAAGACATTCTACAAAACAACTGGCTTGGATTCCTCAAAAAAGTCAATGTATTGGATGGAGGTGTTGAGGGGAAGGGGAACTGGAATTATTTTAGAGACTAAAAGAGACTAAAAAGAGACAGAACTACCAAACACAGTGTGTGAACTCTGATTGGACCCCTGGAACTATAAAAGACATTTTGGGGACAACTGGGAAAATTCAATCATTATGAAATTTCTTAGATGTGATAATCATACTGTGATTATTTGGAGAATGTCTTTACTCTTTAGAGATGCATGCTAGAGTATTTAGAGGTGAAATATCATGACAACTGCTTCTTGTTTTCAAACAATTCAGAGAAGGAAAAAAGCATCGTGTGTGCGTGCACATGTGTGTGTGTTTAGAGGTGGGGAGAGGAAAGGAGGAGGAAGGGGGGAAAACTGGAAAAAAAATATTTTTGATAGTGATATATTGAAGCAAATGCTGAAGGCAATTCTGAACAAAAGTAATCTCTATTCTTTAAGGAAAAGTAACTCCTTTCCTGAGTTTATCTTTAGTTAAACTTAATCAGTGGCCATCCTACTGGTGTAGTATATATATATATACACATACACACACTACATATACATATACATATATTTATATAAATATATACATATTTATGTTACATAAACGTATATACATAAATATACATTTTCATATATTACCTATAAATATATATATTTACACATATACACCTATGTATGTATATTTTGGTTTACCTTTCATCTAAGATTTAGTACAAGAGATTAAAGACCAAAATGATTTGTAATCCAGCAGTTATTAACAGGTAACAGAAACTTACTTTAAGAAGAACACAGAATGTTATAATATGGATGAACTTTGAAAATATTATGCCAAGTGAAAGAAGCCAGTCATAAAGGACCACATAATATATGATTCTCTAAAAAAATGATAAAACTGAACTTACTGACAAAACAGAAAGAGACTCACAGACATAGAAAACAATCTTATGGTTACCAAAGGGGAAGAGGGGGAGGAGTAAATTAGGAGTTTGGGATTAACAGATACACACTACTATATATAAAACAGATAAGCAACAAGAACCTACTATATAGCACAGGGAACTATATTCAATATCTTGTAATAATCTCTAATGGAAAAGAATCTGAAAATGAATATATATCTATATATATAGGTATATATATAACACTTTGCTATATACCTGAAATTAACACAACATTGTAAATCAACTATACTTCAATAAAATTTTTTAACAATATAATTCCATTTATATGAAATGTCCAGGATAGGCAAATTACAGAGACAGAAAACAGACTGGTGGTTGCCTAGGGCTGGGGAGGTGGGGGGGACACAGGCAGTGACTGCTAATGGGTATGAGGTTTCTTTAGGGGAGTGATAAAAATGTTCTAAAAGTGACTGTGGTGATGACAGCTCAACTCTGAATATACTGAGAATGACTGAACTGCACATCTCAAATGGCTGAATTGTAAGGTATACATATTACATCTCAATAAAGCTGTTAGGAAAAATAAAAGAACACAGGAACAAAGTGCTCCCTGCGCCCCCATGAGCTGCTGGACTCACTTGGAAGTCTTCATGGAATCATCTGCCCATCCTCCTTGCCGACGGGGTAGTTTGGGAGGGGGAGCCTGCAACGAAAGAGAAGCCAACAAAACACAGTCACTCAACATCAGCATTCGAGCAAACAGTGGCTGAGATTAAGGTCACCAAAGCCAACCTTCAACCTGTCAAAATCTTCTGAATAAAAATACAGTCTGATGAGAATCTGGGTGCTCTCAGACCCTCCTGGAGGGCAGTTTGGTACCGTCCACTGAAAGCCTTAGAAATGCTCATGCTTTTTGAGCCAGCAATTCTAATCCTAGGAATTTATCCCAAGGAAATAATCAGAGAGAAACATAATGTCATTTTTGAATAGTGAGTAACTGGAAATAACCAAAGTGGATAGCAATAAGGGATTAAGTAAATCATGAGATACATATGTGAAAATACTATGCAATAATGAAAAACTATGTTAAAAGAGAATACTTGATATAAGAAAGCTCAATATACATTAACTTTTTTAAAACACTGTTGCAAAACAGTATGCATAGGCTTCTGATTTTGTGAGATTATTAATATATCACATCTAGTGTTAATTAGCGGTAAGTACATGAATGAGAGGCAATCCAGTGATAGAATTATGGCAATTTATTTTTCCTTCTTTATGCTGTTGTGCATTTTCTAGTTCTTTTTACAGTAGACTTTTATTACTTTTATAAACAGAAAAATCATAAAATAAAAACAGAAGAGAGAGGCTTGCTTAAAAGATACAAACCGAATTGGTGAGTTAAAAATCTGCTCAAGTTATTTGGGCAGGAAGCATTCACTTGTAATGGATACATCCAGAAACCCAAGTGCAAGCAAAGGAAACTATAAACAAAATGAAAAGATAACCCACGGAACGGTAGAAAATATTTGCAAACGATGTGTCTGACAAGGACTTAATTTCCAGAATATACAAATAGCTCATACAACTCAAAAACAAAAAAAACAAACAACCCAATCCAAAAGTGGAAAGAAGACCTAAATATTTCTCCAATGAAGACACATTTCCTATTCTGAATTACCTCGCATTCATCTAGGGCTGTTTTTTGAAGCACCAACTTTCTTTTTCCAAGAACATCACATAATCGTAACTGTTGTTCTCAGTCTGAGGAGATCCTTAGATAAATGGACTAAAACACAGGTTGGCAAACTTTTTCTACAAAGGGCTAGGTGGTAAATATTCTTAACTTTGCAACTACTCACCTCTGATGCTGCAGGGCAATAAACAGCCACGACAAGAAATAAACACCTGGGTGTAATGTATTCCAATAAAACTCTACAAAAACAAGCAGCGGGCCAGATTTGGCGGGAAGTATGTGGTCTGCAGACTCCTGGGCTAAAATCACTGCGATGTCCTTTGAAACTGTTGCTTAAAACTTAACTTGCAGTTTTTTAGGAAAACATTCCTTCAACATGCCGAAATACCTTTTAACTTTTAATATTTTTATTTTACACCAAGATACGTTTCCTTTCCTGCTTCTCCAGTAGCACCCCAGCCTGCCAAGGATGTGCTCTGTCTAGATACCATACCGGACCTTTCTGCAGGGTGAGGCAGAACCTGCTGGGAAGGCCTGATGTAAAAGCAGTCAAGTCCTGGAAAGCCTGCATCCAACTTAGCTCCTGGGAAGCCTAAATAATACTTTAGAGAAAAGAAACTTGAGCTTTCTACACTAGAGGCAGGTAATGGAGCTATTCGGGGGCTCTCAACGTCTCAAACACGACAAAAACATGAGAAAACGAGCTACTGCTTGTCACTCCTGAGGTGGGGTTCAAAGAAGATGTACTAAGAGACCCCCACCATCAATGCCCAGTCCACACATCCTTTATTGGTGTCCCGGCCACCCACACTCACCCGTCCCCAGGCTGGATGGGGAAGCCTTACATCCCATGACCCCTCTTCCCTTAGACACAGTTGACTGAACCAGGGGTGCAAGAGTCTGACCTAGTCAGAATTAATTGAGTTCTCTGTCTCTGGAATCTGGAATTGAAGCCCAGAGGTTAGGCTTTTCAGACAGCACTGAGTGTCGGAACTATAAGGACCAGCTGGAATCAGAGTAACTCCAAACTTCTATGAGTCAAAGTTGTATATAAGCTGAGCCCAAGAACTTTGTCTCTTGACAAGCTCTTACCGTGAGGAAGGCACTGCAAATGTACAAGAGAACGGAACTGAACCATATCAGGCCACCTCCAGGATGTTTTCAACCAATCTGGACCACAGCTGTCTTCCCTAGGATTTTGCAGACAACATGCCATTTTTCTTTATCTGAGAATAGGACCATCGTGTGACAATGTGCATTCCTGAACCTGGAGGTCATAAACTAGTAACCGCATGTTTGGTTTGGCCATAGTGTGGTTTTTGTCTGTTTTTATCTAAACTACCATTTAAAAAATTGTTAAGATTTCCACACAAAACAGTAGTTTCCGGCTTCTCTTGGAAAACTGGAAGCTCCAGTAATGCTGGGCAAAGTAGCAACTGCCCTCTGGAGACTGGACAAGTGCCTTCCAGTTTGCCACAGTCCCCACCCGCCCTTTCTGTCTCCTCCCTGCTGAAGTCAAGGGCCAGCTGACATCTATTATGACTGCAACTGTGCTGTTGTTTCTCCTCCAGGACAGAATCCTCTCTCGGTTCCCATGTCTACTGGCAGGGGAAAATGAAAGCTATGTCGGGTGTTTTGAGAAAAATGGGAACAAGCATGTTCTGGGCTGGCAGTGTGATCTTTTCCTAAGTCAGTGTGCAGACTGCAGGGGTGCCTGAGTCTTACCCCTAGACCTACTTCATTTACCGAGGCTCCCAGCCTGGCCCCTGTGGGCATCTGGGTGTGTGGCCCTAAACTGGATTCCCAGAGCTGGGGTTCCGTGCTTCCTTCTCTTTGCTCTGGGTGTCAAGAAGGACAGAATGAACTCAAGTGAAATCCACAGTGCCACAGTGTCAGGAGGCCCAGGTCTACTTGGCGCCTCCCACTGAGCATCCACAGGAAGAAGGGAAGGGGCCTGGTGGCCTTGGCAAGTTCCTCAACCTGTGTCTCCTGATGCACCTGTTTTCTGCCCATGCTTGTGGGTGGCAATGGGGACAGGAGGAGCAGAGGCTGAACTGGGGAGGGATTGTGAGAGGTCAGGCAGCACGGAAAAGGAACATATGTAACATAAACCTGGTGAAAACGCACTCCTTGGAGTAGCCACTAAACAGCTGCGGGATGACATTAATGACTATACAGTAAGGCTTAGAGCAGTGCCTGGCACTAATAAGAACTACAGCTTTACTGTTACCATCATCATCATTACTAATGTCAATACATGACAGGGCAGACCATGTGTAATAAAATCTACTAAACCATTTGGGGAAAGGCAGGGAAAAAGACTCCTCTGAGTCTGGTCTGAGCTGTCGCTTTAACTACTAATGCATCATATGGTTAATAAAGTTCCTTAAGATTCTAGGACTCCAGATGACCCGCTTTATCTTCTTCAACCACAAACTCCAGGAAGTCAGAGTTGTCGGGAGGATGAGTGAGAATCCTTTCTACTTAGAGTGACCCAAAGACATGTTTTCTCGTGTGTTCTTCCCATTATGGAACAGTACCAGCTGCTGAATTCGGAGAGCACCTTCAAAACAGAAAGATCGCCGCATGAGAGCCACCCCTCCGCAGCCAGAAGTGAACAACTAGTCCCCAAATCAAAGGGGCTTTTGCACAAATGACTAGAGACTTCAGGAGTTTACATAACGTAAAAAACTGTGTAAGCTGATTTTCCTCAAGATCACCTGGGAGAGGAAGAGTTACGAAGAACTTCTCTGCACAAAATGGGGTAGGGTTATAGTCACCTTCCCTGCTCCCCACTGGGAGTCTTGGCCGACTTCAGGAGAGAACACGAGGAGGCTGGGAGACGGAGGCAGGCAGAACTTAGCTCTTTGCAAGGCAGGGCCTGGGCATTTAGTGGGATGTGGTCTCTCTTGATGTTCATGATTTAGTACTCTGAGACTATGGATAAGAAATTCTTTTTTTGGTAAATACTCCCTACCATGAGTCTGGTTATGGCCATACATGAGTACCCTGTCTCCATGAGACAGACGCAATTAACAACCAAGTTATAAAGGCTCCTCCCCAGAATTCAACTTTGCTCCTATGTGGAGGTCTAGGCACTATCCTATACACAACAGGCGAGTTAGAAAAAGCAGAGATATCATTCCTGTCTTGAAATGATACCCCAATCCAATGGGGCCGGAAAGAGGCAGAATTCAGGGTATATCAGGTGCACACGAAATCTATGATTAGACATGAGGCTTAATCTGAAACTTAAAAGGCCACATTAGAGGTGGGAGATGGGCATCAGGGATGAAGCTTCCTAGAGCCCTTCTAGGGAGGCATGCAGGGTCCAAAGGTGAAGCTGAGAAATCCCTCAGCCATGGGGTAGTTCCATAAAATTTTGCAGTGTTCTTGCCACCTTTGGTAGTTTTTATTGCGTCACATTCTCCTGGGGGCATCATTCAGACAGTGCTCTGACAAGCATGCATAAGCTTGCAAGACATGACTGGAGCTACACAGAACTGTACCAACTTGGGAAGTTCTGAGAACAAGGAGACTGACAAGGAGACTTTAAGGAGTTAAGTGGGGCTTGCCCTGGATTGGAAAGGTAAGCAGAAATGAAAAGGAAAGCATTCCAGAAGCAGCCAGATACAAGGTGCAGTGATACCAGGATAGCACATGACACTCGGGCTGCAGCAAATGCTGGTAGTTCACTGATCACTGCATTGGCAGGGGGTCCAAGGCCCTCAGCACTTGTTACTCTACAATGCAGGCTGGAAGAGAAAGTAGGTGCAACCCGATTATAAGGGAGTAGCTAACAGCAATTAGGTGCAAACAATCTGTTTGAAACCTAAGTGGGTGGCTGGCTTTTAGCAATGTGATTCAAAAGGCCTGATGGGTTCTTCTGCATCAACAGTCCAGCAGCCCCTGAATGCCCGGCTGCTCTCCCCAAGAGCTGTGACGACATCACCTAGACCCCAAGTTCACACTGCTTCAAAAGGAGCCCAGTGGCTCTCTCCCCAGGG